GGCGCAGTCGGCCGCTGCGCCTCAGGGTGGGCACTTGGGCAATTGCCACTTGAGCGTCGCCGTCGCTGCCTCCTCGCCCAAGTGGAAATTGGAGGTGCCGCTGACATATGCGATCTTGCAGCTGAGCCAAATCGCAATACGAAGATGTGCAACACATAGGACAATCGAGCTTGGGAATGGCCACTGGATGAATCGCATGGGCGCTGTGAGCGTCGCAATCCCCCTTGCGAAAGGCATGGCAGAAGTGGGCTCTAGCTGTCTTCTGGAAAGCGAACGAGGCACGGCATGCTGGGCACTGGTTATGACGACGCAACGGGCACAGCACGAAAAATCACCATGAGTTCCCCCCGCGCGTGCGTCTGGCGCGCAACGAGGACAGCACGTGAAAATAATCGCGCAGCACATTAATTTCCATCAGCAGTCGTACACCTGCGCGCGTGGACGAAGCCGCACGGGCCCACAGAGACTTTGGTGCTGGAAACGCAGCTGGCGAGATGGCATCCTCCGAAGTTGATTGTGCCCAGGTTAGCCTCACCGCTCTGCCGCAGCTTACGCAGAGGAAGGCGTCAGCAGTCAGAAAAGGGTGGAACCTGTAGTCATCATGAAAGAGCGCGCATATGTCCTTTGCCCCAGGTGGAGCGCCAATCTTCATAATCGGTAAGAAGCTCAAGATGATAAGTGTTGGTGGCGCAACGAACGGCGAACGGGTTGGCGCGCTGGGCGAGACGGCCATCGTTGAGGGAGGGGGGCATTCTCGAAGCCGAGCCGACCGAAGAGGAGGGCGATGACCTGGGAGTGTGATTGTTCGATGCCATCGAGGGCGTTGAATAAATAACTCGGCCCATCGAAGGCACTTCGTTCATCCACATCCAGACAGCCCGAGAGCCCATCGCGACAGGATGATCCCCAGATCGGTCACGCATTGCCCCCGCAGCGATGCGTCTAATTTTGCCCGCGAGGGCGAGGTCGAGCTGGGCCTCCTGGGAGGCCGTGAGGATACACGGTTTAAGTCCTGTCAATAGCGCACCTTGCACCACAGATATGAATACTCGCCTTTTCATGTTGAAAGGGGCCCCCGAGGTCCGCGGATATCTATAAGACCACCACCCCCTGTTGGCCGCCTGCTTACTCGAGGCAAGGCGGCGAGAGAACAGCGCCCGAGGGAAGACGCTGCAAGCCTGAGTGCCTCGCGTGCGGGGCAGCCCTGGCCCCGCCGACCTCCGCCGCGTAAAACTGGCGAGTGGCGTCATAGCTGCAGAGGCGCGGGGGCCAACACTTGTTGTTTCGTGTTTGCTTGCGTCCAGACGCCGCCGGAGCTTTTCCCAGCTCGCTCTGGGCTTCGCGCGCCGCGTCGACGGCCCCCGAAAGAGCCCCCTCCTGCAGCGGCCAGAAGCAGGCGAGGCCATCTACATTTGCGAACAAACCCGTGTAGACCTCACGAGAGAACACAGCGCACTGGGCAACGAGGGCGGGGCCCTGGCTGGCCCCGAGCCACTGCTGGAGGGGGCGGGCAACATTCACGCGAAACTCATCTGGCGCACTGGGGTCGCCCATGAGCACCCGCTGTGGAGGTGCAGGGTGGCGGGGAAGCCCGCGACGTCAAGGTGGCGGAGGTGCGCGGTGCGCCTGTCGCCTAGCAGGCCTGCGCCCCCCTGCAGGCAAGTACTCTAACAGTTCACGATTCATGCGCTCGTGATCAACAGCCAAAAGCGTTGTTCATGTCATCAAACGCAGCGATATGCCAGACGCGTGCTCTGCGCAAGCGTTCCGACTGCACGTGCGCCCCAATAGTGGCGTCCCCCCTCCGTCTGCGCAGGATGCACCCGTGGTCGGAATCCGCGGGCACTGCGCGTGAGACAGACTTGCGTGCCCCGCTTGCTACAGCGCGAAAGAAAGGGCAGAGGCCGCGCAGAAATCTACGAGTGCCGCCATCGGGTTTGGGGGCGCGCCCGTCAACCGAGGAACCCGCGCGCGTCGGACCCCCCCCCCCCCCCCGCCCCCCCCCCGCGCGTGGGTCACTTCACAACCGGAAGCGCACTTTACAACCAGATGGGTCACTTTACAACCAGCTTACTACAAATTTACAACCAGATGGGTCACTTTACAACCAGCTTAAAAATCCAAGAAGCACTTTACAACCAGGAAGGGCACTTTACAACCAGGCAAGTAAAAACACATTTTGAATGCACGCGTGCCTTTCCCTGAAATCTCCGCGGGCAAGCGCAAGGGTGGCTTTGGGCTCTTTGAGGCATGTTGGTTGTAAAGTTGCCCATCGCGCACGAAGAAGCACTGCGCACGAGTTGGCGATGCGGCGACCTGGTGCGCTATGGCATGTTGCGTGCTGGTGGGCGGATTCGAGTTTTGACCTGCTCTCTAAGCTCTGTCGGTCAGTTCTGCCATTGCTTGCTCTGCCTTTTTTTTCTGACGGGCGAAGGCTAGTCGCGCAGGACATACGAATAAACCATGATCCCGTCCAAGACTGGAGCTGCATGGCAGTGGAAAGCTGTAGTGGGAGATGTGGTGGAAGCGGGGGCTACAATGGGAACTGCATGGTGTTGGGAAGCTGCGGTGGCAACTGTGGTGGTCGCCAGGCAACGGTGGGAACTGTGGTGGTAGCTGGGCTGCAATGGGATTTGCGGTAGTAGCGGGGGGTCAGTCGGAATTGTGGAGGTAGCGGGGCTGCAGCGGTAAGTGTGGTGGTAGCAGGCACAAAGGTGGCGGTGATGCGCTGTCACGGTGGCTCAAGCTGCTGCGCTGGCACGGTGGCTGAGGCTGCTGCCCGAGCACGATACCTGCGTTGCTGCGCTGGCACCGTGGCTGACGCTGGAAGAAACGATCTTCGAATAGTTGCATTTATTCGGGACGTTGAACCTCGATCTTCCAAGACGAGGAGCAGCAGGGGGCCAACTGGAGCGGGCGCACTTAGCCCCTTGCAGAACACCGTGGGGCTTCAGGGGCCAACGTGGCCCAAGAGACCCGCGGTGCCAATGGCCTAGTTCCCTGGAGCGCTGGGCCCTTGTGGAGGCCACTGGGCTCGCTTCCTGTGAGTGATCCCTAAAATGGGCAGCGCGTCGCCCTGAGCCTTCCTACGTATGCTGTCGCCTTATTCCCGTGCGAGCACGGGGCCCTTGTTGAGGCCGCTTGGCCCCTGCTAGCAAGCCCTGTCTTAATCTGCTGGGCTCAGAGCGCCAGAGCGTCCAGGCGCTCGGGCTCAGAGGCATCGCTGGGGCCTGCGCAGAGCGTCCAGGCGCTCGGGCTCAGAGGCATCGCTGGGGCCTGCGCAGAGCGTCCAGGTCCTCGGGCTCAGAGGCATCGCTGGGGCCTGCGCAGAGCGTCCAGGTCCTCGGGCTCAGAGGCATCGCTGGGGCCTGCGCGGGCGTTCAGGCGCTCGGGTTCAGAGGCATCGCTGGGGCCTGCGCAGAGAGTTCAGGCGCTCGGGCTCCGGAGCGCCCACGTGCTCTGGATCATTTTTCAGAGCGTCCGCGCGCCCTGGAGCACTTTTGAGAGCGCCCACTTGCTCTGGAGCATTTTTCAGAGCGCCCAATTGCTCTGGGGCATTTTTCAGAGCGCCCACTTGCTCTGGAGCACTTTGCGGAACGCCCAAACACGCACGGCCACTCTGAGCTGGTTGTAAAGTGGTCCGTTCTGGTTGTAAAGTGGCCCGTTCTGGTTGTGAAGTGGTCCGTTCTGGTTGTAAAGTGGGCCGTTCTGGTTGCAAAGTGGACAAAGTTTCTCGATGAAAAAAACATACTTTCCAATCCTATGTTGGTTGTAAAGTAACCCATATGGTTGTAAAGTGGTTGTTCTGGTTGTAAAGAGACCGAATCTCCGCCCCCCCCCCCCCCCCCCCCCCCCCCCCCCCCCGCGCCCGCCAACGCGCGGCGAAACTTCCCGCGCCCGATTTGATGGCCTCCACCTCGGGGTGCCCAGGTGCACCTCCGACCCCGAAAAGGGGGCAACCGTGGCCAACTGAAATACCTCGGTTTCCAAAGCACGAGCCACATCTCGCCGGGGAGAGACCGGGCAGGGCCAGAGCGCCGACGCGAAGACTTTCGGAGCATCCGCGTAGCTCTACGAACGTCTCGAGATCCCAACTCCCCCGCCGAGTCCCGCTCACCCATTCCTTGAGGGGCCAAAGTGGCCCGCCGTGTTAAAACAGCTTCGACCGAGACCGGGGCCGCGAAGCCAGAGAGGCCCAGCGACGACGCGAGCTCATCGGCCAATGCAACGCGCTTGCGCACCGCCGAATAACTGCGACGTCTCGGCCCCAGTCCAGTGCCTGCATGCCGTCGGGAAAAGTGCTGAACGCTGGCCAGATCGCGCCTGCGCCACGCCTCATGCAAACCCTCAGTCAAAGTTTATCGGGGCGACCGCGTCCACCGCCTGACCTCCCAGCGAATCCGATTGGTGCAATCTCTGATCTGGAAGTCGCGATGCCGCGTGGGCTGCCCTCGTTCACGCAGGGGGGCACGCGCGCGAAGCTTTTGTCGGACGCGGACCCGATGTCGTGCAAGCTCTTCCCCTGGGGCCCGCCAAGCACGTCCGAGATGTTTCCTGGCGATTGGGGCCAGAACGCGCGCGGGCGCGGCGCATCCATCATCAATCATGTTGTTCTCGAAACATCCTAGGTGCGAGGGGGATGCCCGCGACGACGCCTCGTTGGCCTCCTGCAGGAGCCCCTCGCGTAGCCCGGGAGTCTGCAAGGCCGTCTCGACCGCGTCGAGGTTCCACAATGCCGCGGCAGCCGGTTCAAGAAGAGACGGGGCTCAAAAGTCCAATTCCGATAGTACTGTTGAGTGGTCTCGGGATGCACCCTTGAACGGGAAGAGCTGGAGCTGCCTCGCCGCCTTCGCCATCGTAGACAGCGAAGAAACTCGCGGGGGGGGCCCAGCAGGCAGCGCGTAGTGATCGATCCAAGACGAAGCCTTCCCCCCATTGTACGTGGGCGAGATCTTGCGAAACGTGGTGGCGCAAGCCAAATGATGTCGGCGCAGCACTTCTCAAAACCCTCGGGCCGCGTAGCCCATGCGCGTCTGCGCGTAGGGCCCCACGCGCGCGAAGTGGCAACCCATCTCGTCCTGTGCGAACGAGTCGCTCAGGTCCGTGAAGATCACGCGGGTGGACCGCTCTGGCGCGCTGTCGAGAACGGTGCTGAGCCACTCGAGGAGCACGTCGACCGTGCGTCTCCATGTGGCGGTGCCAGAGCGAGGCCCAGGCGGCGGGAAATAGAGGGCGATGGCCGTGATGTCGAGCGAGCCAGCGACCACCCGCACAAGACCAGCGCGGCCCTGTGCTGCAGCAGGTCCAAGAAGTACGCGATACACCCGTTGTCCAAGATCTCTCCTGCGAACTCCGATGGAAACACCAAAAGTACGACTCGTGGTAATAGTCGTGCCCGCCGACCTTCGCCTGCCTGCGCACAGCCTCCGACGGCACCGCGCGCACGCGCGCACCCACCAGGAAGTGGATCGGGAAGCCACGCGCCAAAACAGCGACATCCTCCAGCGCCGCGGCTGGATCAAGCTGTGCACACTGAAACCAAACAGCTTGCAGCGCATGACATGTTACTACCTGGGCCGTTCGAAAAGGGCGGTGCAGGGCCCCTCCCGAACATGACAGTGCCACTGGGATGCCAACGCCGGGGGCCCCCCCGATGGGCCCCCCCAGTCTCAGCTCGACACGGAGATGGGCTGGAGGAGGAGGAGGAGGAGCAGGAGGAACAGGGGTGAGGAAAAAGGAAAAAGAACAGGAGGGGGGAGGAGGCGGAGGAGGAGGAGGAGGAGGAGGCGGAGGCGGAGGAAAACCCATGTCGATCGCCCCGAATCCCTGGGGGGCGGCCTCGCCCTGCTGCCGCAGCCCGTCCCGAGCCCTCTGCAGGGGTTCCTCCAGCGCCTCCGCGGGCCTGCCGCCGAAGCGCGCCACCGCGGCAGCCGCTGCCGGCCGTGGCCGCTCGGTCGCTCGGTCATTCGTCGTCGTCGTCGTCGTCGCCGCCGCCGCCGCCGCCGCCGTCGCCGTCGTCGTCGTCGTCGTCGTCGTCGACGTCGTCGTCGTCGTCGTCGCTCGTCGTCGCTCGTCGTCGCTCGTCGTCTTCGTCGCTCGTGGTTGTCGTCGCTCGTGGTCGTTGTCGTCGTTGCCAGTCGCTCATCGCTCGGGGCCCTTCACTTCGCGCGTCGCGCGGCGCGCGGCGTGAAACAAATCCACGCTCTCGCGCCCCCCCGAAGGAAAAGAGGAGGATGAGGAGAAGGATGGAGAGGAGAAGGCGGAGGAATATGAGCAGAAGGAGAAGAGGATGAGGAGGGGGAGGAGGGGGAGGAGGATGAGGAGGGGGAGGAGGAGGATGAGGAGGAGCCGAACCGCAAGGCGCGAAGCACTTCGCGCCCTCGAGGGGGGCGTAGGGCTCGCTCGCCGTGGCCGTCGCCGTCGTGGTCGCAGGGCTCCGGCGGGGCCGCGCTCGCAGGGCGGACGTCTGCCCAAGTGGCCGACGCTCAAGCGATCGAGCAGGCAAGAGGCTGCGTGCACCAGACCAGAGGGCGAAAGCATCCCCCCCCATAATACAGTCGGACTCGATTAGACAGGACACGCGAGAGGACACAAGACCCTTCCGAGGGCCACATTGCCACAGAAATGCAGGAGGCATGGGTCGCGAGACACAGGACACGAGGGTACCCTTGAGCTGGCAGGGTCGACCTAGTAATCCAGGCCGCCTGTAGCCGTTTACGAAACGGCCCCACTGAAGGAATCGAACAGGGCAGCGCTGTTCAGTAACCGCCCAAGGCCGTTTAGGAAACGCCACTTGTCCGTTCCGGGTGTTTTTTCATCCCTTGACAGACGGCACATTGCTATGGGAAATTAGGACCGCCATCTTGGCAGTGCGCCTCAACAGCACCTTGGTAAATCAGCCATGGTAAATCAAGATTGCGCTCGCGAAGATCCCTCCGGACTGCGGGCCGCAGCCGCTGAGCGCCGTCGTTCGTCGGCGTCGTGGATGGCCGCCGTCCTGGGTCGTCGGTCGCGGGACGTCGGTCGTCGTTGCCGTCGCCGTCATTCGTCGGTCGCCGTGGTCGTCGTGGTCTTCGCCGTGTTCGTCGTCGGGAAGGGCGGAGGAACGGGAGGAGGGAAGGAGAGCGGCAGGAGAGGCAGGATGACCAGGGAGCAGGAAGAGGAGGAGATAGTAGGAAGGAGTAGGAGGGGTAGGAAGAGGGAGCAGGAAGGACGAGAGCAAAGGATGGCTCAGGCAGGAACAGGAGGGATGAGTAGAAGGGAAAAGCAGGAGGGAGGAGGAAGGAGAGAGGGAGGAGGTGGAGGGGAGATGAAAAGGGGAAGGGGATGTTTGTTATGTTCCAGCATTTCCTACATGTCTTGCCTCTGGAGGGGCGAGGGGGAACAATGGAGAAATGGGGGGTATGGGGGAAGGCAGTGGGGGGCTTCCCTTTCTCCTCAATCCTCTCCTGTCTTGTAGTCATCGTTCTCTTCCTCATCCACATTGTGTCACAATGCCCCTCTTTCGCACTCCTCTTCCTCCTCCTCCCCCTTGTCTCTTCTCCCCCTCCTCCCTACCCTCTCTTCGTTTTCACAATTGCAATATCTGAGTACTGAATTCCTCTCCCCCTGGATGCTGTCTGGTTTGCGACATCCCATCTCGCACCCTGCTTTTTGCACACAGAATTGCCCCGAATTGGTGTTTGATATGGGTCCTTCGAATCAGAACGTTCTCGGCAATTCGGAAGTGATTCTCACGATGCGGCGCTTGCCACATTTAGTGATGCCCAGGCACCCCTCCGTCCAAAGGAACGACACTCTCGTCGTAGGGATGGCCGTACCTTTGCATCAATGAAAGTGTTCCTGCTGCGGAATGATTTCCGTCGATCTCCCGTCCATGAGGACGACGCTATTGTGACTGCGTTTGCCGTGCTCCCGCGTCAGAAACACTGGCGTTCCCGCTTGCGAGTGTGCCACATGTAATGATCTCCATCAGATGTCAGTCCAACGGAACGGCGATCTCGCTGCAGTCGGCCGCAGTCCTGAATGATATAAAAAAGTGATCCCGCTGCACCACGTGCCACGTTTAATGATTTCCATCGGGCTTCCGTCCAATGGAACGATACGACGCAGTCAACGAGGCGCTGAGAGCACACCTGCATCCGCATGAGGTCCCTTCCAGACCGTCACCCAGGGGGACAGCATCTTCGCTTAGGTCGCCCTCTCGGGGTGAAGGGCATTCCAGACATCCAGCTCTCTGAAAACAGAGGGGCTTACCGCAAAAGAAAGGGATGGGGAAGGAGATAGGACGTCAGAAATGGCGCGAGCGCATCTCGCTTGCCTCTCCCCTCTCTCTTCTCTTCTATCGCATCCTCTGTTCTCCGACCTCCCTGTCCTCTGTTCCTCCTCCTCCTCCTCCTCCTCCTCCTCCTCCTCCTCACCATCATCATCCTCTCTCCTCTCTTTTCCTTCCTTCTCTTTCATATCCTCAACCACTCCTGCAACTTCATACTGTCCCCTGCTTAGGGAAACGAACAACGACTCGGAGGTCCGCGCATATTTCTCGGGTCGGCGCTGGACCCCTCTCCCTGGCGCGCGGAGCGCGCCAGGGGCGGCGCCGGAGGCGCCGCCAGGGGGCCCCAGCGCCGACCCGAGAAACCCGCGTGGACCTCCGAGTTGTTTTGTTTATGCCATTGCTCGTTTCCCTGAAGGGGGCATGGGACAGGAGGGTGTGCTGCGGCAACGCTGACGCATCTTCGGTTCACTCTGGTCCTCGCCCTCCCTCGCAACCCTCCTCCTCCTCCTCCCCCTCCGCCTCTTCCTCCTCCTCCTTCGCCTCCTCCTCCTTCCCGGCGTTCCTCCTCATTCGCCCTCCCCCCAACTACGACCTCATCCCCCCCATCCCTCTAACCCTCTCTCCTCCTCCATCTCACCCTCGATCCCCCTGCCTCTCCCTCTCCACCTCCCTCTCCATTCATCTCTCTCTCTCGCTCTATCTCGCTCTCCCTCTTTCCACCTCTCCCCACCTGCCTCTCCCTCCCCTCCCCCCCTCTCTGCCTCCCATTCTCTCTCCCCCTCCGCCTCCGCCGACGAGGGCGACGACGATCACCTCTGCCACCCCGTGTCCAGTGCCGACGCCGACAATGGACGACGACGACGACGACTAAATAGGCGGCGACGGCCGCGGCCGCGGCGGGGGCCGCGGCGGCCCGGCGGCGGCGGCCGGGGGGCGCCTCCGCAGCTCCTCGGAGAGCCACTGCCCCAGACGGGCGCGGTGGCGCTCGTGGAGGTCCTGCGCCCGCGCCGCCCGCGCGCCGTTGCCGCCGCCGCCGCCGCCGCCGCCTCCGCTGCCGTCGTCGTCGTCGTCGTCGTCGTCGCCGCCGTCGTCGTCGTCGTCGTCGCCGCCGCCGCCGCCGCCGCCGTCGCCGCCGCCGCCGTCGTCGTCGTCGTCGTCGTCGTCGTCGTCGTCGTCGTCGTCGTCGTCGTCGTCGTCGTCGTCGTCGTCGTCGTCGTCGTCGTCGTTGCCGCCATCGTCGTCGTCGTCGTCGTCGTCGTCGTCGTTGCCGCCATCGTCGTCGCCGTCGTCGTCATCGTCGACGAAATGTCGTCGTCGACGACGAATGTCGGTCGCCGATCGAGGGGCAACGCTTCTGGATTCTGGACCTCCTCGCGCCTCTCAAAAAAACATCTGGAAGATTTCGGGGCCGTCATTCGTCAGAAACTTGGGGGGAAGCGTGGAAAGTGCATCTGGGGATGCAGGATGGGGAAGACGGGGGATACGGGATGCCGAAAGGGGAACGCGAGGAGAAACGAGGAATAGGTCATCCCTCTCTGCCCCTCACGTTCGTCTTCGCCCTCCTCCTTTTTCTCTCCGGAACGAACGCCGCATACGAACAGCGTCGTGCGCAATCGACCGCTGGCGGGATACTTCGGTGGAGCGCGAAACGAAACGATGGGGAACAGACGAGGCCGAGCTCGCCCGCTTCCGAACGACGCACGGAAGCGGGCTGCGGGAGGAGGAGGAGGAGGAGGAGGAGGAGGAGGAGGAGGAGGAGGAGGAGGAGGAGGAGGACCTTCAGACTGTGTTTTCCCGCGCGCAAGCCGCCCGCGTCCCGAGGCACCCCAAAAGTTGCCCGAACCCCGGGCGCCAGGCCCCGAAATGGGAGGTGGGAAACCTCCAGGACCACGACGCTGCGCGGACGGAGCGCCCGCCACGCGGCGCCCCGTTCGATTCCCGGGCCCCGGCCCGCGGGCGCCGCCGCGCGGCGCCGCGGCTCGGAACTGCGGCCGCCCGCCCGCGGGCCCCGCAGGCCTGGGGCGCCAGGCCAAGGGCGCTGGATTGCGGGCTGCGCGCGCGGAGGAGGCCCGCGTCGAGGCGCCCTGTCATTTCCACGTCTTGGGCGCCAGGCCCTGAAATAAATTGCGGGGAGTTTCCTTTCCGAAAGTGCGTTGTGCTGCGGGTCCTGCACTGCGCAAGGGGAAAATGACGATGAAGAGGAGGAGGAGGAGGAAGAAGAAGGGCGGGAGGGAGGCGGATGAGTGCGATGGGCACAGCGACAGTGACAGACAGGAATGTCAACCGCGGGGGTGACATTCGACGTGGATACAGGGGTCGTAGACGAGTGTCCTGGAAGGGGGAAAGGGGGGCACGGATTTGAAGGAGAAGGGGGAATAAAACGGGCGCGGGCTGGGGGAGCAGGAAGGGGGGGCCGTTATGATGGTACGGAAGGGCAAGGACACGCAATATTACGCGGGGCATATGGCCGGCGGGGGAGAGCGCATTTCTCCGGCATTTGTAGTGGACGTGGAAGTGGGAATGGAATGTGAATGGGGGTGGAAGGAGGGGGCGGGCGGGGAACAGGGGGGGGGACTGCGAAGGATGATGCATGGAGACAAAGGAGGGGCTGAAGGAGAATCGCCGAGGACAGTCGCAAGGATACCAGGGGGAGGGTGGGTGCTCGGCGGAAGAACTTGTCCAACGCGACATCTGCTGGGGAGCAATTGCTAACGTCAGTCTGCCGAGACCTACCTCAGGCAGAGGCGCCGACGGTCCAGGGCCATGCCCCCGTGGCGCGAACGGTGCGCGAAACAGGGCACGCAAGGAGACCTTGGTGGAAGAAGTGGGGAAGGGAGCCAGGGAACCGCCCAAAAAAACCCAAAGAGAGGCCCAACAAGAGGGAAAAAGGAGCTCGAAGGGGCTCTGGAACAATTCCCGCAAGTTGGCCCCCTTATACCGCAACCGAGCTCCGAAGAGGCCCCCAGGAGGTCCCTGGAGGCCCTGCGTGCCAAATCCCACCAGCCCTTCAGGGCGTAGGTGGTCTAGGGAGTTTCCTCCTCTAACCCCCTTCTTCCCTTCGGGGGAGGGATTTGCCCCTCCCCCTGCCCCCTCCCCTGGACCTGGACGGGGGGTTCCGCGGGTAGTTGGAGCGTCCAAAAAGGCCTCGGCGAGGAAGTCAAAATCTCTGGTTTTACAAAGGTTGTGGCTCCGTTTGGCCGGGGGGCCCTAATTAAGGACCCCCCCTTCTTTCATCGATCTCCCCCGAGATGGCCCCAAGAGCGTTCCCAAGGCCCCCAAGGATGCTCCAGGAAGGCCCCAAGAGGCGACCAGGAGGCCCCCAGAGGCCCTCAAGAGGCCCCCAGGATGCCTCCAAGAGGCCTCCAAGAGACCCCAAGAGGCCCCGAGAGGCCCCCTGGAGGCAGTCAAAACGCTCGAAGAGGCCTCGGCGAGAATGCCGAAATCATTGGTTTCACCGAAGTTTTGGCTACATGTCGGCCTCGGGGGAGGGCACTGATTAAGATGACTCCAGAAACGCCTGGGGGAGCCCAGTGTGACCTCCAAGATGATTCGAGATATCCCAAGATGCCTCAAGATGGCTCCCACGATGCTCCAAGAGGCCCCAAGAGACCCAGAAACCGCTTAAAGACGGCTCCGAATGGCCGAACAACTCCCCCAAGGAGGGCCAGAAGAGGCCAAAACTCTTCCAAAACCTTAGGACAGTCAATGTGGTTGGCTTTCTCGCATCTTCGCTTCCGATTGCCATCCGAAGCCTTAAAATGACTCAACCGAATTCCAAGGGAGGCTCGTCAAGGCCCCGCGACGCCCACAAGAGCACCCAAGAGCGCCCCAAGAGGCGGCTTCTTGGGCTCTCGAAGGGCAACGCTAATGAATGCTCCCCTCTTGTTTGATCGATGTCCTCCAAGATGGCCCCGAGAGCGCCCCCACGGCTCCCAAGAGCGCTTCGAGAGGGCCCCAAGAGGCGCCCGGGAGGCCCAAGGAGGGCCCAGCAGGCGCCCAAAAGGCCTCGAAGATGCTCCTAAGGGACCCCCAAGAAGCCCCAAGAAGCTTTCCGAGGCACCCGAGACGCTCTAAGAGGCGTCCGGGACCGCCAAGAAGCCCCCAAGACGCTCCAAAAGGCCTCCACTGGGGGACCCTTCCTCTGCGTGCTGCCCACTTCCCTGATCGAGGCAATTCCTCTGGGCATCGTTTCTGGATGGGCTGGTGGTGTTACTTTGTGTCGCAGCTGCATGCCAACTGGCCGACAGCGTCTGTAGAGTAAGCATGGGCCGCGAGCGCCCTAATTTGCCAGCGCGCGCGCCGAGCAAGCAAACTACCTACCGCCGAGGGAAGCTGCGCCGGGGCTGAGCTGCGCCGAAGGGTGGAAGCTGCCAGCTGCGGAGGCGACAGGAATGTTGCAACGTGCGAGTACCATGGGAGCGGCTGGTGGGGTCTAGAATGTATGAAGGGCTTTGGTTCTTCTCGAAGGCTCCGATTGGGGTCTAGGCCGATCCCGCCAGCCGCCAGAAATTCCATCCCCCGTCAGCTTTCCCGCGCAAGACGGCCCGAAGGTGGCACCCAAGACGGCCTCCAAGACGACTCAGATGGCGCACGATGGCCTCCAAAGGACGAAGCCATTGGTTTCCTGCTGGTTGTTGAATGACTTGAGCGCTTTCGCCTTTTCGGGCTTCCGACGCTCCAATACAGCCTAATAGGCCCCCGACCAATATCGAACCCCAAAACGGCCCAGGAGGCCCCCAAAAGGCTCACAAGACGGCCCCAAGACGGCCCACGAGGCATCCAGAAAACTCCCGTAGACCTCCAAGACGGACCTAAAGCGCCTAATTAAAGAGGGACCCGCGACTGCCCAAAGAGGGTCCAAGACGGCCTCTGAAGGCCAAGAGGTTCCTGAGAGGCCCCCCAGAGGCCCCCGAGAGGCCAGGAGGCCCTCAGGAGCTCAGGAGGTGCAACGAGGTCCTCAAGAGGGCCCTAAGAGGCCCTCAAGAGGATTTTTGGAATCCCCCAGGAAGCCACGAGACGGCTTCAAGAGGCCTCCCTCTCATCCTCCTCTCTCTTTCTCTCCCATGCCACATGTGCGCTTCCAAAACGCAGGGGGTGGCCGTGGTTCGCCGCAGGCGTCTTCGATCCGCCGCCACCTTCTGCTTGCAAATGGGTGCTTGACGTGCTATATCTGCAAGCTCTTTTTGGCCCTTCCAGCAATTTTCAATTGGTCGCGGGCTCAATCCGCCGGCCAACTGGAAAATATGTATCCCGATGGCTCTTCCGCCCAACATGGTCCCAAAACGCACGCAAAACGGCCAAGATGGCCTCCAAAATGGTTAAGGTTGCCCCAGGAGGGCCCAAGATAGCGTCCACATTCAAGAACACGGCCCAAGAGGCTCCGAAGACGCCCCAACGACGGCCCAAGAGGCCTTCAAGAGGACCCCCAGGAGACCACGAAGAACAGAAAATCAGTGATTGTTCTAGGAAGTATGTGTAAGACTTTGTTTGGCGTGCGCGCCTCTGTGGGCTTCCGATGGCCCAAGACGGCCGAAGAGGCCCCAAGATGGCCTGAAGGCGGCCCAAGAGGCTTCCATTACAGCCGAAAATGCCTCCAGGACGGACCCTGAAGGGTCCGAGGACGGCCCAGAAAGACCCGCAAGACGGCCTACGAAAGCATCAGACGCCCAATAGAGTAGTGCCCTAAGACGGCCCCAGAGGCCCCGAAAAGCTCCTCTGAGGCCCCCAACATGCTCCAAAAGGTCCACGACTCCCCCAAACTACCGCTTACTTCTCCGCGTCTCCGTCTTCTTCCTTCCTTTCTTCCTTCCTTCCTTCCGGTCTATCCTCCCTCTACTCGTCCTCCTCCTCCTCCTCGTCCTCGTCCTCCTCCCCTTCCTTCTTGCAAGTTTTCCACAACGGCTGGTGGACCACATAGTCCAATCCACCACCATGCACTGAGCCACGACATGGGGTGCCCCGTCCACAAGGTTCATTTGAAAGGCCCAAGACCCCAAACCGCCGGAGTTCCTTGCATGTGACGCGTGTTGTTGCTAGACTTTTCTGGAGGCAAGAGTGCCCCAAACCAGGCCAAGAGGGTGCCAAGAGTCCTCCAAGATGGTCCAAAGGCTCTCGAGGGCTCGAGAGCGGTTCAAGATGCAAAATATGGCCTCTGAACCGCCCCCCAAGAGGCCCAAAGAGGGCTCTCAGATGCCCCCCAAGAGGGCCCCAAGACGCCATACTCATGGATGTTCTAGCGCTTGGTGATCGATTTTAGCGGCCTCGCCTTTTTCGGGCTTTCGACGCTCCAAGACGACCCAAGAGGACCCAAAGATCGACCCAAGATGCCCCCAAGATGGCCCCCAGAGGGTGCAAGATGGCCCCAAGACGATCCAAGAGGGTCCCTAGAGAGGCCCCAGAGGGGGAGCACGAACCGATATTCCAAGCCCACCGCCCCAAAATGAGCCCTCAGAGAACCAGCCGGCCCCCCGAGAGGCTCCCAGAAGCTCCAGGAGGTATCTCGGGACAAACGCAAACACAGCTACAGTTAGGTCGGGCATGTTCCCCTACAGGCGGATCTTGGACGAGACATGAAAATAACATACCAACATCGCAAAAACAGAACACGTATACAACAAAACGTGCCCTGATTATTTTTTGACTATGCTTGAATGTTTTCCTGTAGAGGGGCATGCCCGACTTAAAGCTACTGGAGCTAAGCATAGGGATGGGCCTCCAGGCCAGAACCCCCCAATCATCCACAAACCTCCGCCCGCAAGCCTCGCGCCAGCCTGCTCCTCCACCTCGAACCACGAAGGGTGAGACAGCTGATGAGCATAATAATGATACTTATAATGATGAAAACAAAATGAGAAGAATAAAAAGAGTAATAAGACAACTAATAACAATACTGGTCATACTTAGACTACTGTTGAGGAGAACAAGCATAACGAGCGGCATCAAACTTCACCCCAGACCTGTCTGGGAGAAGGGGTACGTTCTGACACGAAGCTCGAAGCTGCGAGGAAAAGATATGAGCACGTCACGAGCATCTGTCCTCGAACCCGCGAACACCCCCCTTCCCCGCACAGCGAAGTGAATGAGGAGGGAGGCGAGAAGACGGATAATGCCTCCAGGTCGACCCCAAGACCCGTTCAGGGCTGAGGTATGACCAAGATCCCAAGATGGGAATCCAGCCGCGGCGACGCACGCGCTCCGGGAAGCGGATGACATCCCCTTGGATCACGCGAGCACGCCCTCCGCAAAACCGTGCGGTGACAGACCGTGCATTGACCTCGAAATCCTCAGAAACCCCATTCTTCAGGAATCCTAGGGATCTCGGTTAGATCCTTAGAAATCTCCTTCGGAATCCTAAGGATCTCGTTCAAATCCCTAGAAATTCTTCCGGAATCCTAAGGATCTCGCTCAGATCTTAGAAATTCTGCAGGAATCCTAGCGCACGGTCTGTCACCGCACGGCTTTGGGACCCTGGAGGCCCCCGATCGCTCGAAGCTTCCCTGGAAGACGACGCGAATCTCACGACCGTGCGGTGACCCCGAACCCCCGCTGACTCGCCACACGGTGTGGTCCTCGTCGTCTGGCTTTCGGGCCTCGGGGATCTTCTGACCGGGGTCAATCCCGACCCAGGTCAGCAGGAAACCAAAAACTGCAATGCAGGAAAAAAATTGCAACGCAGATCTTCGCAAACCCGGGTCAGCCAATACGCGCGGCCGCCTCACGGCCACGAGCGGCTCGCTAACCCGCTTCAGCCAGAGGGGGTCTTCGCAGGATCCTGCAGGATCCGGTGCCCTGGCTGACACCCATTTGCATTGACCCCCGTCTCGAGGCCCCCGAGGGCCATGACTCGGCTCTCCGCCGGCCGTTCGGGACAGTTTTGACACACTCGGAACGCCCTCGGCGAGACGCAGTTGATGGAGACCACCCCGCGCTTCGGAAAATTTGGGCAACTCCAAGAAACTTATGGAAAACCCACCTGAGCCTTCAGCCAACCCGTCTAGTAAGGATGCGCGGTAAGGACGCAAGGGCCTTGAAGGGCCACGCTGAACGTCGCTAAGGATGGGCCGAAGGGACAAGGCTGCAAAGGTAGACTATGAAAGTCGCTCATCCTTACTGTGCAGGTTAACTGTACGGTGAGGACGAGAAAACTCCTACAAGAAACCCAACTCTGAGACCCCAGGACGTCCACTGATTTTTGGTGTGGGAACGTCACGCCTTCCATAGCAGGACCATCGAAATCCAAGAAGTCCAAGGCACCCTGGAGGCAAGAAGGTGTTTCTTGGCATGGATCTCCAGAGTATGCGGGTTGACTGTACACGCCGATCGGAAGAAGTAGGTAGAAACATGGAGTAGGAAGGCGGGTAAAGTAGACTGGGTTCGAGCCCGCCCAAAGAATCAGAAACAACAGCAAAACCATATCGATCCTTGACGTAGGACGGCGATTGAAACAGATTGGGTTCTGGGAATCCAGAAATACCCACTTTCAACGACCGAGGGTTAGTATTACACAAAAATAGTCAACAAATAATCAGGGGACGATATTTATTAGCTAGTTTTGAGTATGCTTTGACTATGTTTTGTTTTGCGCCCCCCCCAGGCGCTCCTGCAGGCTCAGAGCCCGCGCGCCGAAGGCATCGCTCTCGGCCTGGCGCGCCGTCGTCGTCGTCGTCGTCGTCGTCGTCGTTGTCGTCGTCGTCGTCGTCGTCTTTGTCGTCGTCGTCGTCGTCGCCGCCGCTGTCGTGGTCGTGGTCGTGGTCGTGGTCGTCGTCGTAGCCGTGGTCGTGATCGTAGTCGTGGTTGTTGTCGTGGTCGTGGTCGTGGTCGTGGTCGTGGTCGTGGTCGTGGTCGTGGTCGTCGTGGTCGTGGTTGTGGCCGTAGTTGTGATCCTGGTCGTCGTCGTGGTCGTCGTCGTGGTCGTGATCCTGGTCGTCGTTGTCGTCGAGGCCGTGGTCGTCGTGGTCGTGGTCGTCGTGGTCGTGGTCGTGGTCGTGGTCGCGGGTCGTCGATCGGGGTTTGTATGTAACCAGGGTTTGGTACATCTTTCGGCCTCTTGGGGCCTCTAGAGCCTTTGGGAGTCTGAGGAGGCCCCAAGACGGGACCATCGTCGCCGTCGCCGCCTCCCCTGTGCAGGACCAGGACATTCAAGGAGGACAGATACGATAAACTCGGAGGAGGATTTATCTGTTTGCCACCTCCAGCGCAGTTTGATAGGCGTGAGAACTTGACAGGGCAAGAAACTGCTCTTGACGGAACAGGCAAGTGTTCCCTCCTGGCATCGTGGCCGCTTGGCTTTCCCGAGGACTCGGCTTTCACGGCTGGCTGGCGAGTCCGCGTTCGCCCCCTCCTCGTCCCCAGACTCCGAAGTCGTGATTTTTGTTCACGCAGAGGTATCGACCACTTCCATGGGGCCAACTTTTCAGCCCGAGCCGATGTTTAACGGTCCTAGGGCCCGGTTAGGGCTCCCAGACAGCAGCGACAATTGCAAAACACTCATGATTGTTTAATGGCGCGAAGGAAAGCGAGTTTTAACTCGGGAGTGTTCTCCTGTAGGGGGATTTTGGATGAAAAATAATCCAAACATGCTCCAAACGGTTCGACCTCGGTCAACAAAACGTCTCCATACTATTTGTTGCCCATTTTTGAATATTTTCCCTGCTGAACGACAGGCCCGACTTAAGGCGAACTGAGACGACGGCAATTCAAACTCGGTCCCTGGATCCCTCCTGGGGTCCAAACGGGTCTCAGAGCTGTGCCCAGCCGTGGCGACGAGCTGCCCGCCCGAAGGCCAACGACGGTCGTCTCAACTTGCCTTGCCCGCCCTCTCCTCCTGTCGGAGGTCGGTCGTCCGTCGCGGGCTGTCTGCCGTCGTCGGTCGCTCGCAGTCGGGCGACCGAGCACAAGGCTCACCGGAAGAGGCGGTGCGCGCAGCGGGTGCTCTGCGCGCCTCCCCGCGCGCGAACTGGAGTCTCCCACCCTGGCCTTCTTCGGGTGCCGTTGCCCATGGGAGGACCCACGGGGCGCCACTTAAGAGTTCCTTGGTCTCGAGGAGCACCCTTGGGCAGCCCCTTCTCCAATGGGGCGACCAGTGGCCGAGGACCTGTCGCCCGCTCACTCAGGGCGGGCACGGCCTTCCCCAAAGAAGCAAGGCCGTACGGGCCTGGATGCCCATCCGTGTCGATGGACCATCACGGGCACCCGCCTCTGGTGACCGAAGCAAGGGCGACAGTGCCAACCATGGTGCACGCGCAGGTTCTGCGCGTTTGCCTCCGTCGCGAGGCAGTCGCCTCAAGGACGCAGCCAGGCGGCAAAGCTGCCCGTCCTGCACACTCACTTCCCTCTGGTTCTCGCACCTCCTCTCCTGCGGGCGCCGCCCGGCGGCGTCGCCAGCTTGCGCGCAGTTGCTGAGTCTGCGCGCCGGCAGTCCTGCGCGCTCTCGCGTCGGACCGTTACCAAGGTTCGTTCTCTTTGAGACGCTGGCTAGCGGCAGTGCAGGCCATCTGAAGGCGCCCTGGGACACACAAATAAGTACACACAAATGAAATGATTCCCTATATTTTCCCATATTTTCTAGGTTTTTGTCTTCCCCCCCACTTCGCATATTTTCCTACATTTCCTGGGGAATCGACGATTACTTGTGTTTGTGTTTTTTCTCTTCCTGACCATCGCGTGTCCGCATATTATGCGCGCATGCCCCCGTCGCGAGAGGCTGCTGCCTCAAGGACGCAGCCTGGCGACAAGGCAGGCGGCCCTGCACGCGTGTGCAGCGTGGCGCCGATTGCCAATGCTGTCTCTTGTTGGACACTGGCTGACAGCAGTGCCGGATTCCTCGCGTCCAAGAACACAGCCTGGCGATACTGATGGGGCCCTGGGAAGCGCAAATAAATACACACAAATAAAAGAATTCCCCCATATTTTCCAATATTTTCTGGGCTTTTGTCTTCCCCCCCACTTCCCATATTTTCCCATATTTTCCTGGGGAATCGACGATTAATTGTGTCTGTGTGTTCCTTTCCCTCCTGATATACGTCCAGCGGTCCTGAACCTTCCCACGCCGAACCGCTCCCAAGAATCGCTTCCTTTCTGGAAGCAGGCCGGCGGCAGCGCCTGCCGTCGTGCGTCCGCAAATTATGCGCGCCCACATCCTTGGCGAGGCTGTTGCCTCAAGGACATTTGAAGGGGAACTGGGACACACAAATAAATACACACAAATAAAAATATTCCCCATATTTTCCTATATGTTCTGGGTTCTTGTCTTCCCCCCCCACTTCCAATATTTTCCCATATTTTCTGGGAATCGCCGATTAATTGTGTCTGTGTGTTTTTTCCCCTCCTGGACATTGCCCGGCGGCAAGGCCGGCGGTCCTGCGCGTTCTCATGTCTCTGAAGCCCCGCGGCAAGGCCGGCGGCTCTGCGCGGACACAATGGCCTGGTTCTCGTCGTCGTCTCCGCTGGGGGTTGCCAGGCGGCAGTGCCAGCTTACGCGCGTCAGCAGATCCTGCCCGCTTGCCCCCGTCGCGAAGCATGTGCCTCGAAAACGTCGCCTGGCGGCGAGGCCGGCGGTCCTGCGCTGCGCACTCTCGCGTCGAACCGCAATCGAGGTTCGATTTCTGTTGGATGCTGTCTGGCGGCAGTACCCGCTTGCCTCCGTCGCGAGGCAAATTCCACAAGAACGTCGCCCGGCGACAGGGCCAGCAGTCCAGCACACTCTCGCGTCGAACCGCGAATTGCCCAAGTCCGTCTCCTGTTGGACACTGGCTGGCGGCAGACCCGGATATCGTGCATCCGCAGCTTCTGCGATTGCGTCTTCGTAGCGAGGCTGTTGTCTCAAGGACCCAGCCCGGCGACGAGGCTGGCCGCCCTGCATTTCACATCTCCCCGGTACTCACACTTCGGTTGGACGGTCTTGGACCCCGAGCGGGCTCCAGGAGACCCCTGAACAGATTTCCAAATGGCCGTGGTCATCTGGACATACTTTCGGGGCTTTCTCGAAGGCTTCTCGAGGCGCCTGGGGGGGCCTTTCGGTGCTCGTTCGACGCTTATTTTGGGCCCCGGGCGGATTCCTCAATGCCCCCGATAAGATGTTGACATGGCCGCGGTCATCTGAATACCTTTCCGGGGCCCTCTTGACGCCCCCTTGGGGTCAGTGGTGGGGCCTCTAGGTGCTCGCTCGGGGCCGCCTGCGACGATGGGTGACTAAGACGGGGGCCGCAGGACAAATTCGAGCCGGAATCCCAGGCCCCCAATTTTTGGGGTGTACCAGCCTATATGTAGAAATGGAGGCGCTCGATTCGAGCCGCACTTCCATACCCATCTTTGAGTACGCGGGGCCATCCGTAGTAATTGACAGGAGTACTCGATTCGAGCCAGAATCCTCGGCTCACTTTCCGTCTGGAGGGAAGGATTTGGCAAGCCCCGTCTTCGGGGCAAGTTCTGTGTCGCGGCCTCGGCGTGTCGGGGGGGGTTCTGACCCATGCATGCTGCCCCTGGCGCCGCGCTCGCACCTCTTCCCCCGTCTTATCCCGTCTCGGGGTCATCGCAACGTCTCGATTGCAACCGCCTCCTGCGGGTGCCCTGAAACTCCAACTCCTCTGGCGCGTCAGCCAAGCGTTGAGCAACTATGACGTCGCGAACCTCGGCGCAAATCCGATATCCCGAAGATGGGCCAACGCGCCCGAACATTGCCATGTGAACGTGTCCGACAATCGAGGCAGAAATCCGGGCGTTTGTCCCTCCCCGCCACGTGGCTCCGCTGATGGCATGCTGGGGTGCGGGAAGTGGAGATTTTTTTTTGTGAAGGGGCCCTGGGACACACAAATAAATACACACAAATAAAAGGATTCCCGTATTTTCGCATATTTTCTGGGTTTTCGTCTTCTCCCCACTTCCCATATTTTCCCATGTTTTCTGGGGAGTCGTCGATTAATTGTGTCTGTGTGTTTTTCCCCTCCTGATCTTGTCCCACGTGCAACCGCCGCCTGCGGGTGCAGAGACCCTTTGCGGGCCACCGTCGGTGGCTTTACCCAGGCCTTTTGTTTTCCCCCGTGGACATCGGCAGCAAGGTTCAAGGGGCCCCAGAACACACACAAATAAATACACACAAATAAAACTACCCCATGTTTTCGCATATTTTCTGCGTTTCTGTTTTCCCCTCCACTTCCCATATTTCCCCATAGTTTCTAGGGAATCCACGATTAATTGTGTCTGTGTGTTTCTTTCCCTCCTGAAAGGTAGCGAACCGCCCATGTCACCCTTGCGGTGGTCACCATTCCTGACAGTGCGTTGCCAATTCGTGTCGACCCTAAGGTGGTGGTGATACGCCTGCGGCAGGGCAGGTTCCCTTGCCGTGCTGTGGAATGGGTTCCCCCTTCGCCAGCAGGAAAGCAGGTTCACGTGTCCATCCAAGGGATCGAGCCGCCCCGCCCACGCGGCCCTCTGAGAGAGCGCTCCTTGGGCTCTTCGGCATGGTTGGGGAGACAGCGCGTAGCGCAGTTCCGGTGACTGACAGCTCATCCTCTACACAGGCTGTAGGACATGCGCCGTGATTTATCGCCTGTCGTCCCCTCATGATGGGACGTCGTCGGCCGTGTCGCTCGTTTCCTGCGGGCGTTGCCCCGTTCTCGCGCCTCGTGTCCTGCGGGCGCTGCCTTGCGGCAGCGCCCGTTTGCGTGCAGTTGCTGGGTCTGCGCGCATGCCCCCGTCGCGAGGCAGACGCCTGAAAAACGTTGCCCGGCGGCGCGGCCTGCGGTCCTGCGTGCTCTCACGTCGGACCGGTGCCCTGGCTCGTCCGTTTCGAGACGCTGGCTTCCGGCAGTGCCAGCCGTCGCGCGTCCGCAGAGTGTGCGCGCTTGCCCCCGTCGCGAAGCTGTTGCCTCAAGGACGCAGCCCAGCGGCAAGGCCGGCGGTCCTGCAAACGATTGATCCTTGGTCCTCGCACATCGTTTCCTGTGGGCACTGCCTGGCGGCGACGCCAGTTTGCGTGCATCTGCTGAGTCAAGACGCCTACCCCCGTCGCGAAATTGTTGCCTCAAGGACACTGCCCGGCCGCAAGGCTGGCGGTCCTGCACACTAGTTTCTGGTTGGTCCTCCCACATCGTTTCCTGTGGGCACTGCCTGGCGGCGACGCCAGTTTGCGTGCATCTGCTGAATCTGCACGCCTGCCCCCGTCGCGGGGCTGTTGCCTCAAGGACACTGCCCGGCGGCAAGGCTGGCGGTCTGCACTACTTTCTCTTTGGACCTCGCACGTCGTTTCCTGTGGGCACTGCCTGGCGGCGACGCCCGATTGCGTGCATCTGCTGAGTCGGCGCGCCTGCCCCCGTCGCGAGGCAGTCGCCTCAAGGACACTGTCCGGCGGCGAGGCCGGCGGTCCTGCCCACTCTCACGTCGGACCCTTACCAAGGCTAGTCCTCTTTGAGGCGCTGGCTGGCGGCAGTGCGAGCCATCGTGCGCTAACAGGCTATGCACGCAACCCCCGTCGCGAGGCTGTCGCCTCAAGGAAGCTGCCCCGCGGCAGGGCCGGCGGTCACATGCTTTGGTCCTTCATCCGTTGTCCCCTCATGATGGGACGTCTGACCCACATGCGTCGACACCCCCCCCAGTCACGGTGCTACGAGGCAGAGGTGGCTGCCACAGGATATGCGCTACACGCATATCACCCACCACTGCAAGGCGACAACATCGAGCACCTATTTCAAGGGTGGGAGAGCCCAAGTGCCCCATCCGATTCAAAAGGGCATCAGCACTACACTGCAATCCTTCTCCTCTTCCTCCTCCTCCTTTTCTAGGTCGTATGAAGACCCTCTCGTCGGCACGGGAGGTTGCGGCTGGAACATCGGGCCAAGATGATACCCGTGGGGGCCCTGGGACCCCTTCCGAGAGGGAGGAGAAGGATCAAGTGCGAGGGGAACACGCGGGAGGGGGAGAGAGTGGGGAAGCCCTCTGTTTCCTGCTCCTCCCACTTCCTCCTACCTCCTCTTCCTCCTCCTCCTCCTCCTCCTCCTCGCCCTCCTCCTCCTCCTCCTCCTCCTCCTCCACAATGACACAATATGAATACTACTCTCCTTTCTCCCCTGGTGGCGTCAGGGAATTGGCCGGCCCCCCTCCGCGTACTGATTGTTTACACGTAAGATTCCCGGGAAACGGGTTTTAGCTAGGGTTTGTTTCAAAATGCTGCTCTCGCTGAAGCGCTGGCTTCATTCTCGGGCTACCCCTCGTTCCGAATCGTGCTCCCGCTTCAACGCTGGCTTTATTTCTGCGCTTCCGCTCGTTCCGAATCGTGCTCCCACTGTAGCGCTGGCATCATTAATTCCAATGTCATGTCACGACATGGTTTTCGGTCCTTCCAAAGAAGCCCCAAAATCTAAAAATTGCCTCCTGAAGAAACCATCGGAAATGATTCCACATTCGGTGTCGATTTGTTGATTTTGGGGATGCATAAACCCCCCCCACGCCTTTGGGCCGTCGCCACGCCATGCTATGTCATGCTACGCGCTAATCTTCAACACCATGCTACGCATTGTGTGATGCGATGCCATGCTACGACATCCGAGTGTGCGAGTAGAGAGGAGATCTACGCCATGAGGGATGGGAGGGAGGGTTAGGACGTCAGATATGACGCGAGCGCACCTAGCTTGTCCTCCCCCCCTCCCTCTCCCCCTTTGAAGGCGACCCAAGCCACCCCCACACTCGGGCTGGGCGAAAGGGGGGATAGCAAAGAGGGGGTTTGTTCCTGGCGCCTCCCGGTGCAGGAAGGCGGCCATGTATCCAGGAATGGGTCCCTCGGTGAGGCCGAAACCAGCTGCACGCAGCAAATTTCGCAACCCCCCCTTTCCCAATCCCCCCCTTTCGTCCGGCCCGACACGCCCGCCACATCACGCTTTACATGTTCCGAGCCTCTCCCTAGAGCCCGTGGACCGGCGACCGTCGTCAACTGCGTGTGCCCCCAGAGAGGCCCCTGGCAACTTGCGAGAAACGCAGCCGCCGAGAGGGCCGCGGTAAAACGTAATTCTGAAACCAAATGTGTTGAATAGAAAACCCAAACTTGTCAAGGAAAGGAAAAGCTGCCGCGCGCGAAATTGCATGGGGCATTGCTCCAATCGAGCCATCGCGCACGTGCAACGGCGCAGTTTCATGAATGCAGAAAAACGGTTACACAACACGAACAAATCTGCTCAATAAAGACGGATACAATTTTATACAACGATTTGTGAAACCGGAAAGGTCGTGATTCGCAATCGTCGCAGTGGGGGCGTGCCGATTAAGCCCGAAAGCGTTCCAGAAAACACGAACAACATCAGCCTGGTGGGTGTGGGGGCGGGTTGCTCTCGCTCGATCCTCCTCCTCCTCCTCCTCCTCCTCCTCCTCCTCCTCCTCCTCCTGATCCTCATCCTTCTCGTCCTCCTCCTCCTCCTCCTTCTCCTCCTGCTCCTCCTCCCCCCCGCCTCCTCCCCCCCTCTGGCCCCTCGCCTCTTCTCCCTCTCCCAAGGGAAAGCAGCCAAGAACCATGCTGCCCTTTCCTGATAAAGCTTCTCTAAAACAGCTCGAGTCGTTGCTCTTTTCGAGGGCGCCGGGAGTACAATACCCCAGCGTGATCAGGGTGAAGCAGGTACCGTTTCGGACATACAGTCATGCAGTTCCTCCTCCCTCCTCCTGCTCCTCCCCACCTCCGCCACCCCCTTTCCACCGCCTCCCCCTCCTCGTCCGCCCCCTCCTCCTACCCCCCGTCCCCATCTCTCACTCTCCCTCTCTCTCTCTCGCTCTCGGTGGAGGGGGAGGAGGATCAAAAGGTGCGCCCATGGCTCGGCAAAGACACGAGGATCAGAAGGGCGGGGGGGGGGGCCGGGTGAGCACCCTCGGAGGACGGCGACGGCGGCGGCCAGCGGCGGCGGCAACAGCAACCGTCGGCGGCAACGGCCGCGGCAGCGGCCGCAGCCCCGTGCGCCCGGCGGCACCGCCTGCAGCTGCGCCGCCCACCGCGCCTGCGCGCCGAGCTCCCCGCACAGCTGCTCCATCTGCGCGCAGGGCCGCCGCCGGGGCCGCCCCGGACGAGAGGCCACGCTCCGCACGTTGAAGCGAGAGGGCAGGGGCAGGGGAGGAACCGGACAGATCGGGGATCTCTGAGACTTCGTGGGCGCAGAGCGGTGAAACAGGAACTTTTCCGTCGTGGGCGCCGGTCCCTGGGCGGCTGGAACATTTCTGCCCCTACGTGGCACCGTGGGGGTCAGAAACTTTACAACCGCCTGGGGGGCAGGCGTCCCCGACGGCTGAAACATGTACTTTATACCGTTCCTCGCCCCTGAACGATGTGATGACCGTTCGGGAGGACGTGCAGTCGCCCCCCAGAACAAGGACGCACGATGAGGATGCAGGGGCCTTGGAAGGCCATGTCGACGCTTTGCAAGCGGGGCGCGGCCAACGACAGCGGCCAAGGATGGGCCGGAGGGGCAGGGTGCAAGGGCAACCTTGGGAAATCGCTTATCCTTACTATGTGGGTTGACCGTGCTGGGCGTCGCGCCCGTTACAGAGCGTCCCGGAACGCACTGAGAGCGCTCCCGAACGCTCTGGAGCGGTTCTCGGGCCAGACGACAGGGGTGATTTCAAAGCGGGGGTGGGCAAATCAGCTCACGCAGCTGCTTTTCCTGGCGCCTCCTGGCGCCGGAAGCACCCATGTATCGAGGAATAGACCCGGCGGCGGGACGGAAACCAGCTGCATGCAGCTGATTTCGTAATTGACCCCCCCTTCCCCCACAGTGGAGGCCCGACCACAAGAAACCTTCCACAAAAACTCAACCCTGAGACCCCAATACGCCCACTGACTCTTGGTGCTGGAACGTCGCGCCTTCCACAGCAAAACCATCGAAACCCAAGAAGCCCAGCAGGGCACCCTGGAGGCAAGCAGGGTGTTTCTTGGCATGGGTCTCCACTGTACTCGACTAGGGCCTCGCACCTTCATGACCCATCCGCCCGTCACGCCCACCCGCATGACGCGCTTCCTTCGACCGCACGCGACAACGCTCCAGACTCCCATGTCCCGCCTGGCTCACGTGCCCTGTCCGCGTGTCCCGCCTCGAGTTTCGGGTCGGGCGAAAGGGGGGGATAGCAAAGGGTGGGTTTGAGAATCAGCTCACGTAGCTGATTTTCCCGGCGCCTCCCAGCGCCAGAGGCGGCTATGTATCGAAGAATGGGCCCCTCGGTGAGGCCGAAACCAGCTGCGTGCAACAAATTTCGTAACCCTCCCTTTCCCAATCCCCCCCTTTCGTCCGGCCCGAGCCTCAGTCGGCCAAGCTCCATAGAGCCAGCCCTACACTTTCATGCCCCGCCCGCCCGACCCTTCCCGCCCGTTGGCCCGTCTCGCCCGACCGACTCTGGATTTATCAGTGTGTCCATCTGGTGGAATGAAAACTGCCACTTTCAGTGTCCGGCTTCTCAGTACCCGGCGCACTCGCACTTCCTGTGGTCTTCCCTTCCCCGTTCTCTCACAAAAATGAACTGAAATTGACATTGGAGTTCGGAATTGACATCGCCGGTTTCAGTGTCCCGCTTCTCAGTCCCGGCGCATTCGCACTTCCTGTGTTCTTCCTTCCTCGTTCTCTCCATCTTTGGGAGCGGCCAAGAGGGGAGTGTCCAAGAGGGGGGGTGCAAATCAAGACCGGCGGCATGTGCGCGGCCCCGCGGGGGGGCCAGGGACGTACTGAAACGAGAAGAGGCGCCACGAGATCTGGGGAGATATCATGGCACCCGCCATGATATCCCCCCTCCCCTAGTCATCCCCCCCCTCTTTTCCGCCCCCGATACAGGCGGCTTTTGGACGAAGAATCAAACATAGTCAAACAAGGCTCCCAAATGGTCCCACATAGTAAAAAAAACATCGGCCCCAGATCATCTGTGGACTATGTTCGAACTTTCCCCCTGCAGAGGGACAGGCCCCGAGGTAACACTACTGCCCCCGACATCTGCCTCCCCTGTGTCTTTTCTTTGTCCAGGCCTCCCGCCGCCCGGGCGGCCGAGCCCGGCGGGCGAGGACACTGCCCTGCGGTCGAGCGGGCCGGGCGGGGGGGGCGGGTCGGGCGCAGCGGTGCACCACCGTGGTCCGGGCCGCCCGACCCACCCCGCCCGTTCTGGCCATCGCTCGGACGTCCATTCCCTGTGTTTTTTTCGGTTTCGTGCGTGGCTTTTTCGCCCAATGATCAACGATACTCCTCGATGGTCCCCGCCGAAGGAAAAATGCACACGTCCGAGCGATGCCAAGCGTTGGCGCGAGAGTAGGCAGAACCGTTACTTGTGCTCGGGTTTTGGGCCCATGGTTGGCCTCATGTGGGGGGGGGTGATTTGGTCCCCTTCTCTGATCGATCTCCTCCAGGATGGCCCCCAACGCTCCCAAGGGTGCCCAGGAGGCCCCAAGAGAGACCCTCAAGAGGGCCCCTAGAGGCGCCCAAGACGCCCCAAGACGCCTCAAGAGGCACCCGGGACTTCTGAGAACCCCCCAAGACGTCCCAAGAGGACTCCAAGAAGCTTTCGAAAGACATCCGAAGAGCCTACTAGAGGCATCCAAGAGGCCTCTGGCCTTTCTGCTCGCCCTCCTCCTCCTCCTCCTCCTCCTCTTTCTCATTCGCCTATTCCTCCTCCTCCCTCATCTCTTCTCCCCCCTCCCCCTCCCTCTCCCTGGTCCTCCTCCTCCTCCTGCTCCTCCGATTCCTCCTCCATCCTGGCCATCTTGGGGTATGACGTCTTACCTAATCTTTCACTCCACTGCATGCTCTTCCGCATCCCTGATCAGAGCAACTCGTCTGGACATCGTTTCTGGATGGGCTGGTGGGGTTACTTGTTTGATCTGCGGCCCGCAAGGAAAAGTCCAGAGGGCGTGGTAATCTGGTGGGGTTACGCGACACGTCTACACTTGTAAATTTTCAATACCCAACTCCAAGATTGTGAATTCCACTCTTCTTGTTTCAATCCGAAGCTGTGGATTGTATTGTTTCAGCTCGGCGACGACAAGAAACTGGTCCTACGCGAGATGGCTTAGGGACCTCACGCCGCGGCCGACACGTGCGGTCAGCGAGGCACGCTACCTTGGAAGCGGGGGCGCCTGCGCGCGACATGACGCGGGAAGCTGACGCACGAACGTCTGCGCAATCGACCCCGCTTTCTTCCGCCGCTCCACTGGGGCCCAGCCCGGGTCAGAAAAGCACGCGCGGCATTCCGACACCTTACGTCTGTGCCGTTCTGCTCCTCGACGTCAGCCCCCACAATCCGCCGACGCCGTGGCCGATCGTCCCCCTCCGCTTGCCGCCGGCCTTCGATCGCCGATCGTGGACGCCGATCGTCGACCTCCGATCGGCCGGGAGGCCTCCGAGGACCTCCTGCCCGGAGGCCTCGCGGCCGCCGCCGCCGCAGCCGCCGCCGCAGTCGCCGCCGGTGCAGCCGCCGCCGATGCAGCCGCCGCCGCCGCCGCTAACTTGGTCGTGGTCGTGGTCGGGGCCGTGGTCGTGGTCGTGGTCGTGCTCATGCTCGTCGTCGTCGGCGTCGTCGTCGTCGGCGCCGTCGGCGTTGGCGTCGTCGTCGGCGTCGTCGTCGCCGGCGTCGGCGGCGTCGTCGTCGTCGAGGGCAGCGCGCGACCCGAGCCGGGGGGCGGGACCCCTCTCCACACTCCTGCTCCTCCGCCGCCTCCTCGGCCTCCCCCGCTCGGCCATCTCGCTTCTATGCCCAACACCGCCAGCCGCAATGCAGAGGGCAGGCGCACGCGAGACAGCCAGGAGGTGTGCCCTCCCCCGTTTGGCGGCGAGCGCGGGGGGGAAGTGAGGAGGGGTGGGCCTTCTCAGAAGGCTCGGAAGCCCCCCCCAGCCTTCTGAGAATTGTTCTAAGCCTTCCCCGAAGACACCACACACCTCTCAGAAGGCGCGAGGGTTTCTGAGAAGTCCCGCCGCCTTGTGAGAAGGCCTTCTCCTTCTCGCTTCCCCCCCTAGCTCGCCGCCGACCCGTCCCCTCCCGGCTCTCCTCCCCATCGTTTCCCACCCCTCCTCCGCCCCCAGGCGAGCAGCGACCGCCGATGCGGGGCCGATGCAGCACTGCAGGATTCCACTTTCAAGGAGAGCATGCTCATCAGCTCCTGCGCTGGGACCGGCTCGTGCAGAGGTTGTCGAAACCCGCCGAGGAAGCAAGAGCCAAACGTCATCAGCTACATTCAGGCTGTGGCCAGCTCGTGCGAGAAGGCAGGCAATGGCAGCACGGACTATAAATGCGAGATGGCCAGAAGTGGCGCCAGGTAGACCGTTCACCCCCGCTGCCGCCAGAACGAGGAGCAGGACCAGCCACCTAAGGGCTGCAATGCTGGGAGCAGCTCGTGCGGGAAACTGGGGATCAAGGCGCGGAAGCCAAAGCTGGAGCACGAGGTCACAAGCTACAGCGCTGGGATCAGGGCGTGCGAGAAGGGCGGAGAGCTAACCATCAGCAACCAGGCAAGGATCATCTCGAGCAAAAAGCAGGGGCGAAGCATCATCAGCTACAATGCTGGGGTTCGCTCGTGCGCGAAATGACCGCGGGTGTAAGGCTTGCAAGACAGGCCGCGGGATGGAGAGCTCCTGTCGGCACCCACCTCCAGCAGAGCTCTCGTGAGGCAGCCCCAAGTCGCCCAAGATCGGCCTGGGGATGGGTGAGCCTCATTCCGTCGGCTCCATCTACGTAGCATGATGTGTTCATCAGGCCAGCTAGCCCCTCCCCCGCTCCTCCATCCCTTTTTTCCGTATGACTAACTCCTCCCTGGCGCACCCCCACTGTCGTAGAACTAACTGGCTGGGCGGTTTGATTGAGACTGATGCACCATTATTTGATCCTGAAGCCTGAAAGTTGAAACTGTTTCCCGGATGGAGGGCGTGTGGGTTTCAAACATGTGGCTCTCGCCTCTGCACCGCGCACACTCGTATTGAATATTTGCAGCCGCTTCAAAGATGGAAGACACGTGGTTTTGAACATGTGACCTCTCGCCTTAGCGCCGCGCACATTCGCGTTGCCAATTTGCAATCCTTCCAAAGGCCCGTATGGCTGAAATCCCAACGGTAGCGTAATGGCACGATGTGCGATTGCCAGCACGCAGCAATCGCCTTGGTTCGCTGTGTGGAAGTCCTGGGAAAGATGCTCTAGGACAGTTTGGCATGCTCAGGGCGCGAAAGGTTGTTGATTCGCGACGTTGAGATCCCAGGAATTGCGTTTTGGCATGAGGGTTCTCATACGGTTGTCTTACAATGGGGCACTTCCCGCACTGAACATTACTTCTCGCAGGGGCAAAGGCAGAGAGAGAGAACTTGGGAGGACGGTTTATTGCATCGTCGAGGCGTCTTGGGTTCGAACTGGCTCTCCTCCTCACCCCACATCCTCCAGGCGGTCATGCTTTTGGAAATGCTCCGGGCGTCCGAAGGCCGAGGGCAGCATGTGCTCTCTCTCTCTCTCTCTCTCTCTCTCTCTCTTTTTTTTTTCTCTCTCTCTCTCTCTCTCTCTCTCCCCCTCTCTCTCTCTCTCCCTCTTCCGAGCCCAGGGGGCCCTCCATCCTCACGGCGTCTGAGGGCCGAGGGCAGCATGTGCTCTCTCTCTCTCTCTCGTTCTCTCTTTGTCTCTCACTCCTTTTCTCTCTCTCTCTCTCTCTCTTTCTCTCTCCCTCTCCCTCTCCCACTCTCTCTCTCTCTCTTTCTCTCTCTCTCTCTCTCTCTCCCTCTCCCACTCTCTCTCTTTCAATCTCTCTCTCTCTCTCTCTCTCTCTCTCTCTCTCTCTCTCGCTTCCGAGCCCAGGGGGGCCCTCATCCTCACGGCGGGGTCCGTCCAGGCATCTTGGCCTGAACTGAGCGCGCGCCCCAAGGAAGAGGTCGCGGGGGTGGGTTTCGAGGCCCCGTCGCCGCCTTCCTCCTCCTCTTCCTCCTCCTCCTCCTCCTCCTCCTCCTCCTCCTCCTCCTCCTTCTCCTCCTCCACCACCTCCTCCGCCTCCTCCGCCTCCTCCGCCTCCTCCTCCGCCTCCTCCTCCTCCTCCTCCTCCGCCTCCGCCTCCGCCTCCGCCTCCGCCTCCGCCTCCGCCTCCGCGTCCGCCTCCGCCTCCACCTCCGCCTCCGCCGCCTCCGCCGCCGCCTCCGCCGCCGCCTCCGCCGCCGCCACCGCCTCCGCCTCCGCCTCCGCTTCCTCCGCCTCCTCCGGTTCCACCGCCTCCTCCTCGCCTCCTTTCTCCTCCTCCACCTCCACCTCCACCTTCACCTCCCTTTTCTCTTCTTCTTCCTCTTCTCCTCTTCCTCTTCCTCCCTCCCTCCGTCCCCCCCCTCCCCCCCCTCCCCCCCTCCCCCCTTCCCCCCCCCCCCCCCCTCCCCCCTCCCCCCCCTCCCCCCCTCTCCCCCCTTCCCCCCTTCCCCCCCCATCCCCCCCTCCCCTCCCCTCCACAATTACTCAATATGAATGCTACTCTCCCTCTTCCCCTGATGACGGTTTGAAAGTGCTGGACCCCCCCCGCGTACTGTTTTTTACACACAGGTTTCCCCGGAGTTGGGTGTTCGCCTGCACTGTTTCCCAACATGCTGCTCTCGCTGAGGCGCGGGCCTCATGTTCGGGCCCCGCTCGTTCTGAATCGTGCTCCCGCTGCAGCGCTGGCCTCATTTCTGTGCTTCCGCTCGTTCGGAATCGTGCTCCCGCTGCAGCGCTGGCCTCATTTCCGCGCTTCCGCTCGGTTCGACTCGTGCTCCCGCTGCAGCGCTGGCGTCATTTCCCGTGCCATGCCACGGCATTCAATGCAATGCCAGGTTGATACTTCGCTTTGCGGTGCTCTTCTACGCCATGCCACGCCGTGCTCTACAATGCATCGCGTACCCTTTCGGGACCATTGCCCTGCTCGAAATCCGACTGTGCGAGTAGAGAGGGGATCTACGCCATGGTAAGGGATGGGAGGGAGGGGTAGGATGTCAGATATGACGCGAGCGCGCCTAGCTTACTCCCCCCCTCCCCCCCTTCCCCCCCTCCCACCGTCCTCCCATCCCCCCCTCCCCCCTCAACCCCTCAACAATTACACAATATGAAAATACTCTCCCACTTCCCCTGATGGCGTCCGGAAGATATTCGGCACCCCCCCGCGTACTGTTTTTTTTTACACACAGGATTCCCCGGAGTTGGGTTTTCGCTTGTGTTTTTTTTTTTTTTTTTTTTTTTTTTTTTTTTTT